AACCATATTTTGTAGCGAAAATTACACAAAAACCCCAAGACAATACTTTCTATGCAATGAGACCATTTACCTTTTGCACATGAAGGTCACAATTACGTACCACCATTCCATGTGAAATCGGATAGCTTGGGTATGTCATAAAATTCAAAAAAATTTCTTTTGAACTTTTAGCTTGGTCAATGAAATAAATGCAGCTACCCAATTTCACATCTAATGGTCAATATTAACTGTGACCACCTTGTATCAAAGATAAATGATCACATTATATACTTTTCCAAAAAAATATTCCTTATAACTTTGAATCAAAGGTAAATGATCTCAGTATATACTTTCCCCAAAAAATATTCTTTATATGAGTTTTAGCTGAGGGAGTAAATACCCAATATGCTTTTGCGGGCACAGAAAATCTTTACACCATTAAGAGCTTGGAGTTTAGTTTTGAGTTAGTAGATAAAGAGCGGTTCGCAAAGAGCTATGTAAGTCATTTAGAAGCAATAGCCAGATAGCCTTGTGGCAATGGTAGTCAAGGATGGGTTGGCAATGACCTTTTTAATTCATTAAAAAGGCAATGAAGAGGGAGAGGACGTGTAGAGAGAGGGAGAGGACGTGGAGAGAGAGAGAGAGAGTTCAATCAATTAATCGTTAATAAAATAATCCTAGTAACCACCCACCTTGAGGGAAATAATTTACTAATAATAATTTGTGTTATTAATAATAAATCAATGATTTACTATGTCAACGGTTCATTTCCGGTTTTTATATTTTTTAGTTTATTTTGTTGGTTTGAATATTTATTTTTTGTTCTTGAGATGGTAAGTAGGAAAGGGCTTCCTACCGATAGTAGGACTGGAATTTAAGATGTCATGCTATGTAGTGGTGGCAATGAAATGGGTTGGATCCAAACCCGATCCGAATTTACCAGAGCCAACAAAAATTTTTAAAATATTTATATATTTAATTATATTTCAATATATTTCATATATTGGGACCCAAATATATATATATAG